GTGTGACCTTAGTCAACCACACAAACAGTCTTATTTCCAATTTAAACAAAATATTGCCTACCTCGTTTTTTTCGGGGCCCCTTTTAGAGATCTGTTTGTATAGCCGTCCAGGTACCCCACCCACGATGGCCCTCGTGGACGTTGGACCCCAAGCCAATCCTGTTTGTGACGCCAATCTGTTGTGGATTTTTCTTGGGTGCGGCCAATGAAGTGGAGAAGCAGAGTTCCAGATGTCAAAATAAGACTTTATTTAACAAAGAAACAAAGCCGGGAAGACAGTCACAGCATTCCAAATCATTCCAAAGTCTTTTTTTGTCAGCTCATATTATATACCATTTGTTCTCTCCAAATTTGGTCATTTTCTGTTTTTTCTTTGTTCCGGTTATTTTTTATTGGTTATAGATACCTGATTTGCCACAATTGTTTCCAACCCTTTTGGCCGAGTTTTTTAATGGTGGAATGTGGTCCGATCAGCCATTTTTTAAAAAAGCTTTTATTTCATTGGTTGGTAGTGGTCACATGAGGAGGTGTGCGTCAAATCCATCCACCTGCTCCTGATAATATTAGATTATTTCAAGTTCACAGGTGTACTGTCTAATGAAAGGTCCACTGTCTAATGAAAAGACCATTATACGTTCATCATTCCCCATCACTACATCCAGAGTTAACATAATTCAGCATATTAATTTATATACTGATTACTTTCATTTTCACATAACGTTCAATAAAATTACACAATAGTTGCAAGTTGACATGTTGCAAGCTTAATTTAACATCACAACCAGGGGCGTGGCTAGAGCATTTTAAATGGGGGGGGGGCAGTCTGGGTCATTACCTCAAAGGAGGGTGTATACACGATGTTAATAATATATTAATTGCGCAGTGTGAGATTCAATGGTAACAGAACTTTGTGAGATCGCGATGAACAAAGAGTGGCAGCTTTTTAGTGGTTGTGAGCGCTCTTTGCAAGCTTTCTAGGCAATCAATTTAAAATTAAGAAAGTTTTTTGGCCACACACACACGTTGCAAAGTTTCGGGAATGACATCTGCATATTTATGCGGTATTCACTCTCGAAGTAGCAGTGTTTGACTTGGTGATAACCACAGCAATAGACGGGACAAAATATGTGAAAATGTGCATTAAGACTAAAGCACCCTCACTAATAATTTCAGAAGCCCCCTCAGTGATTATTTCTGGAACCTATTTGATACACGTTTGTTGTATAACTATACAAAAACAACAAAATACAAATGTACTAAATAAAATAATTTAATAAATGCATATTTACAATTTAAGCACTTAACTAAAAGAAGTATTAATAAAATAAATAACTAGAAAAGGCTGACTATATTCAGCTTGCTTCCATTTAGTGAGAAAAGCCTACTCTTCACCTGAATTAGGAAAAAAAGCTCCTCTGGTCTTCAGTGATGCGAGGACAACGTTTGAGCGTATATGTAATATCTCTGTGAGAGCAGAGCCAATTCATAAAAGAACAATGCATATTTAAAAGCACACGTCCAGTTTAGTGTGAGTGAAGGAAATCTGCTTGCGAGTGGAGATTCGTGCTCGCGCATTAGGCCTACATGGATCATCAACCTCACATTATGCGCTCGCGACATTGTCATTAAGATCGCGCTATAGAAGCCGCCCAAAATTAAGTATAAATAAGAGAAGAAAGCGGTCCTAGGCAGCTGCCTACACATGCCAGGATGCGCCACTGCCAGATGCAGTTAGAAACATTGTTGCCAACTAATTTTCAGGGGAAGTTGCTAAAGGAAGGTTGATTTGTTTCTAAAAGTTGCTAACTGATGTTGTGATGACATTGCGTGATGACGTCATTACGTAATCACGATGCAAAATTGTGTCAAATCTCAGCAAAAACATATATATATTTTATATATGTTCATTTAGATTTGTTCGTAGCAATATAAATGCATAATATAATATTAAAATATCAATAACTATTTTTAAATCCATTGAATGATCGAAAACGTACACATTTTTGAACGATTAATATTTAAGTTTTATATTTTAAAGCAGTTTATCAGTAGTTAGTTAGTATGCTGCACTCTAAGAAAAGTAAAAAAAAAATAATGCACAATCTACTGTGTTAATAT